AAATTTATAAACGTGTCTACTGATGACAAAAAAGAGAATAATATATTAATAGAAAACTTATCTTTCAAGGTTATTTCTTGTTCCAATAAATAATAGACAATTATCTAAGATGTTTTTCTTCTCTGCACAAAAATAATTGGAATTGGAAAAAGTTCTTTTGATTAAGTTTTTATTTTAAAAACTAAAATGATTTATTGTCGTAATCTTCAAAACAGAACTGATGAAATTTTCATCGATAATCTCATTAACTATGAGAGTCTAGCAAGGAACTAATTCATATCATTTAATTTTATCAAAGATAGTTTATATTTTAATTATATTCACTTATTCAAAAGGACACTTATTTTAAAAAGTATCTCACAATATGTCCATTTCTAAAATAAGCTCGACGAATTTCTTGTAATAATCATTATGTGTCTATATTCAATTCACAATCTTACACAATTCTAAAAATCAAGAAGAATTGAAATTTCTATTATATGATGAAAAATTATCTACTGACGAAAGTAAAATCTATTCAAATATGATATGAGTTTTATCTCAACTGTTACAAGTACTTAAAATGTTTCTTTTCTAAAAGTGTTTCTAGATTAAATTAAGTAGTGGAGACGAATCCAATGAGTTATAAAAGTATGAATGCATCTTCACCAACGATTTTATTAATTAAAGATAGTGTCAATGTTTCAGACATTTTTATTCTATAAATCTTTTTCATTTATCTAACATATTCTAGGACTTGTTTAGTCGAATTCTCGAAATTCGATTTCAGAAGTAAGAAAATGATTGGAAAATATTTTAATTTTATATTAGTTTGTTCCTTTGTAACAACGAAATATATTTAATGCATAAAGTCAAATAATCTGGGCATGTAACATGTAACAATATTCATCAAACAGTAGAAAATCATATTTTGTTTTAGAATCCTACACATTATTGATTCCGATCCCATTACAGTTTCTTGACATGTGCATTGTTTCGATCTCTTCTTTTTCTCGGCAAAGCCGAGACTGGGGTTGATCTCGATGATCTCTAGTCGTGCAGTGCTGCAGTGAACATCTTTATCAAACTCATAGTTAATACGTGACATTGTCAATGGATGTATATTATTTGAATATACAAACCGTGTATTGAAGCTATATTTGCTCATAGTTATTTTCAATTATGATCTATGAAAATAGAGGTCTTTTGTTATAGGATAGAATGCACAACGATTTTCGACATATAAATAAGCACAACTACTCATCTGAATACCTATGCATAAAAAATGAATTTGTGAATTCTGTTTTCCAATTTAAAAGAACAGCAATTGAGTATTCCAATTGAGTAATAACATACTTTCTCTTTTAGAATCGTTAATACGTTCACATTTGTTACGATATTGCTTTATAATTCTTTTTGACGTATGCTTATCAGCTGACACACACAGCGCCGTGCTTTAAGTGAAGGTAAGAATAGTGCCTAATCTGCAGATGCACTGAGAATGTGCACGCGCTTTGACCTATTCTCACTTGTGGTACTGCGTCTGAAGGCGTTGTATGTTTTCGTGTTGTGTAGAAGTTGAATAAGAAGAGAAAAGAAAGTATGTGCATCGAAGTGGATCTTTGCAACACAGATGATCATTTGACAATGTTAAGGTTTTTGGAATTTTTTTCGTTCTTTTTAAGATGTTTCGATCTTATGTATTTTTTTAATATTGTGTTTGTCACTCGAGAAGATATTTATGCGCAGATCTTTGTTGATCATCCGACTGAAATTAAATTTGTTATCATATTATATTCTAGACCTGGTCTCGTTTCTCATTCGGATCTCATTCAAAATTATACTTGCAATGTTGCGATTGTTTTGTCACAAAGAGTATACGACGGATATTCTTTCCGAGATGTTAACAAAATGTATTACACGGAATCAAAGATTCATGTTTTGTGCTACTGAAAAACATTTTATCACGCCAGAGGTCGAACAACTTATAAAGGGAAAGAAAATTGGTCACTACCAAATATGGCGATATATTCAATTTGAATTGACTCACAATCTATATCTGGAAAAATTGAAAACAATTCCAATAGCAGTTCTCAAAAATAGCAATAGACTTCAAAAATATATAAGACCATTCTGAATTTGCAATCATAGGAATTGAATTTCGGTCATTAAAACTAGAAGATACATTGTTTATGATAGAAGTTTGAGGCTACAAATTAGATGCTCTATATGCTGTGGCTCAAGTTCAATTTTGTAATAAGAAATTATACCTCATGGGCAAGTTTTTGGCTATTTATATCAAGATCGTTTGATGATGGCCAAGTTCTCATATTTGGAGCACACCTTTCAGATATTCTGTGAAACTATCGACCTGATTTTTGTCCGACTCTTGCAATACAATGATTCTCTCGGCATGGTTTATACTGTTCCTGAAGCTCGTCGATTTGGACTCTCGTCTCTGTTGAGTGTTCGATTGACGACAATGTTCAAAAAATTCAGAATCGTGTGTTCGAATATACAACTTTAAATAATCGAAAATCATTGAGATTGGTGGCTAAAATGGGCTTTCATGAGTCAGGCATAGCTGACTGGATTGTATTCGAACCGAACGGCAGCTGCGTTAAAAGTGATCCACAGCATCTTCATGTACTAAAATCTTCGATCTAACTGTGCTTTTTTAAAGAATGTTTCGATCGAATTACTTTTTTATCATCATACGATTCACAGAAAAAATACATAATTGATTTCATAGACAATATACATTACTCAACATTATCAACTCTGAGTTAATAACTTTTTTCTGTTTCGATTAGCAAGCGAGAGAGAAGTGATGAGTTAAACATTTGTAAATGCTTTGTGGACTACTACTAAAAATGGTTCAATTCAGCAGCAATGAAAACACAAATCAATTGTGAACTCGATAATTGAAGTTGGCCACTAATACTGCAAAGCTAGTCACTGTTTTTTGATTAATATATACACGATTTTCAACATGGTCAGCAGTCCGCATGCATTATGACCTTCAACTTTTTTTGAATGCATGATGTAATTAACACAGGTCAAATCACAGTTTAAAATGACAATGTATTGGAAAACGATGTCAAATAGCTTTTCAATAATTCATTTTAATCTTTATCAACCATTTTGTAGATGTGTTTTGATATATTTCCAGGAGAAAAAAGTCGTATCGTATTAAGCCTTGTGACTGTGATGCTCATGAAATCAATCCATGTGTTTTAAATCACTGATGAGCAAACTTGTTGCTCAGCAAGAAGCGAACTCTTTTCAAGCAATGCATTATGATGTTCGATGCTGCTGGAAAATCATTTTGTTTAGTAATTACTTTTGTCTCTACAAAATTAGGTACAAGAAGCTTTAGAGCATGTCTAGATTATTTTATTAATATATCATTGGATCATTGAAAAAAGACGATTCAATCATCAATTTGCTTCAGATTGCACGTTACAGAGAAAGTTTTGCTGAATGCATTTTGAATAACATGCAATAAAACAAAGTAATTAAAAAAAAACTTATCGTAGCATAAAGTCTTTTGACATAGAGAAAAACAAGCCAAAGTTTTCTATTTCGATTAGAAATAATAGTTTAAAAGGAGACTATTCAAGTTTGTTTGTATTGCTGGAAAAATCTGGTGTATGAACCTATAATTAAAACAAATTAGTTGATAAAGTAATACTATGTTCAAAAAACTTTATCTTGAAAAGTAACTCAATTTTATCACTCCTCAAGATTGTTCACTTTGTAATTTTGTCCGTCTTGGTTTTTGAAATAATCATCGAACGAGAGTTAAATGTAACGAACGGTTGTTGTACATATGTCTGTTTAAAATTGATGTTCCTGATTGACATATGACTTCGCTTCTAACTTTTAATATCATTAATAAATAAAAATGAAGAAACTCATTGATATCACCTGATAAATTTCTACTTGTATAATCCTAGATTCTGCATCTCTAGCCTTCCCTTCATCTACAACTGCATCCGTTAAAAACAAACGTTTGATAAAAATTTATATTAGATGAATGAAAAGTGTCAATGAAATAATTATGAAAAATTACCAACTGTTAGGCATTAACTTATTGAAAAAATTTATTTAGTAGTAATAGTTCGAAACTCATCATTTTCTTCAATAAATTGAATTCGATTAAAACAAGAATGAATTTGACGTACAGTAGTTAAAGTCTCAATTCTATCATCTTTAGGCAACATTTCTTTAATATAACAGTCGAATTGAGATAAATAATGCAGTTGATTGATCAAACTATGAGCCAAATCAATAAAAGACATAGAATAAATTGTTTGTAAATACAAATATTCAATGTTAGGTGTATAAGTAAGAATATTATCAATATCATTAAAAGTGAGTTCGGTAGAATCACTCCAAAGAGTCAGTCGTCGAAGTGAATGATTTGATGGTGAAAATGAAGTAACAAGATCATCATTATTATGCAAGACATGAACTTGAAGATGATGAAGATTGGGACAGGAAGCAAGAATGGCTGGAATAGAAATTGGTTGACAAGAAAGAATTGATACAAATTGAAGAGAAGATGATGTACTCCATGAATGACGAGTGGACTCATCAATACGACACAAATTAACATAACGAAGAGATGAAAATTTATTGGAGAACACATCACAAACTAATTGATGTGGCACATTGAATTCAGATCCTAACAAAAATGATAGATAAGTCAGATTGGGAATAATTTCAGATTGAATTTGTGTCATATGATTTAAATCTGTATTGCATAATATCAACGTATGTAAATTAGGAAATTGATTAAAATCACAAAAGATTGATGTCTGAATTATCAAACGATTGACATAAGGTGCATATAATTTCATGGACTCCAGATCAATCTTATTATCAAAAGTGAGAGATAAATTTTGACACGATTGAAAAATGTTGTTCAATCGTGAATTGAGTCCCCAAAAAGCTTTATATAAATGTTGAATATCGATGAAAGTGAATAAATAGTAAAATAATTCATTTGGAAATTTTTCAAATGTCGTACATACACCTAAAATGTATCAAAGAACAGTAAAAATATTTTTATCTCCAGCAGGATAATAGAAAGCTATGTTTAACACTTTCATTTTTTCAAAATAATTTATTCTGATCATTTCTAATGAATTGAAAAATACTTTCTAAAATGTTACACTAATCATAAT